GCTGGAATGTAGATAATATTCTGAATGAAATTGCTCAAAAAATACTGATTGGATGCCAGGTACCATATCCAAATGTCGTAATACTTAAACCAGGTGACAATTCAAATTGTGACGCGAATGTTCACAATGTGTGTGATCTTTACTATGATGATGTAGGAATAGCTAATACCGGATGCTTAGATATTGTGTGCGATGAGGCAATTTTTCGTCGATTAATTTCATACAAAGAAAAAAACAAAAATAAAGTTATAAGATCTCTTTTAGGTCAGTGGCACACGTTTCGTGACATGTGCATTGCATTAATAAATATTTTCTCAGGATATGGCATTGCTAGTATGACTGCAAGACTTGGAGTCCGCTTCCTAGACAAACTAGAAAAGGTCGTGGACTATCAAGCTACTTGTCGAGTTCTGGAATTGATTTGAGTTGCCATCAGCATTGCAATATGTAAGTATTTACACGAAAAAAATCAAAAAATGAGTGATATTGAAAGTGGTGGCAATGATGTTCTCAGAGTTTGGTATCGTTATTTCTGCTGGACCGGCTATTGGGTAGGACACAAAATTGGGATTCGTCGGAGAAATTATGATATGCAAATAAGAAACTTAGCAGCGTTTTCCCCTCTTTTTCCGGTTACTGGCAAAAGCAATTACGCAAGATCAGTGACACATTTTTTATCATACATTAAAGATGATCTGCATCTTCAGGAATTACTTAAGTGCATATGTTCGGTAAATCTTACCCATCCTGGACACTATTTCGTATTCGATGAAGCGCTGGAGAGATTTGGGGTTATGTTTGTGAAGCAGAACATTGGAGGGAAAACAATGAATACAGAAAAATTAAAGTTACAAATAGGTTCCGTACAAGCAGAAAGGGAACGATTGGAACTACTCATGTCAGAGTACATGGGTGATACGATTACAACTAAGGGAGAGCGTTCCATACAATCACGCAAAGAAAATCTGTAGAAATTAGCTAACGAGTTGTTTGATGCTTTTTCTTTGACCGACCCTAAAACACATGAAATTTTTGTGAACACGCAAGAGATGACCTTGATGGAATTTTCAAGAATATTCACATGCTATGATCTTGGCATAGCCTGACTAATTGCAATCCAGCACCAGGATATTTATAAAATTGATTCACGAAACACACAAGATCGTCGTAAACGTAACGTAGTGGTTCATAAACTGATGGATTTACTGTCAGAACACCAAAAAGAATCCAAAAGAAGACAAAGTGATCAGGTCGAATTGCATGAACAAGGTTGTGCTGTTGAGGACATTCGTGTAAAATGCCAACGCAGATTAACAACTGATAATGAAAAAAAGTTACTTGAAGGTATACTCAAATATGACTATTTCCCTGAAGAAATAGTTATTGAAATTTTAAAAAGACTACAAGATCTTGGTGATAATTGGGATATTCGACGTATTAGAACATATTGGAATAATAATTGTTTCAATAAACAGAAAAAAAGTTCATAATGATAATAGTAAGTCTTTTAAATATTAATATGAATTTTCAGCTCAATACTCATTTCCATGATTTTTACACATTACAGATCTATCAAACGTAAGTGCGTATTTGTTGAATTATGATGGAGAAGGGATTCTAACAGTTATGATAAGAAAGAATAAGCATATCGATATATGTAACGGTTGTTGAAAATGATTATATGTAAATAAATTTTTTCGTTATCAATTATTTGATTAAAATTTTAGATTATATCGATACGTTAAATTTCAATATAATATGATTCAAGTATCAAACCCAAATAATTTCAAAATTTATACAATTTCTGATTCTAGTTCTCATGCAATACTTGATAGGATAGGTAAAAATCTTAAAGTTTACCTTTTAAGCAATAACAATAGACTGGCATTCAAAGACTGAATTTATTCAAGATTTCAAGTTTCTGGAGGTTTTGATTCATCATTATAATCTTTCATAGTATGAGCACGTCACAATTATGCTATTATACTACTAACATTCACCCTACACTTTTAATCACGATTAATAATAGATTATGTGATCTACCACGTTACTATACATATTCTTCACGTTTGTTGTTCTATATTCACGTATATACATCTTAGTATTAGCTTTAGATACTTAACATTGTTGCAGTGATTGAAGATATCCAGGGTCTTTTGTTATGGAATTGGAGGATGGTTAGTGTGAAAACGAAGAATGAACAGAATACAGCTACATATAACGAGCTATTCTTATCTTACTAACCTCCCCTCTTTACTTCTTGTTCTAGGTTCCCTAACACCCTTTGCACCAGATATATAGGTCACATGATATGATAGAAAAGAAGTCAACCTCCCTTAGGATGGACATCACGCAAAATTCCTGGAAAGTGGGATAGTGAAAATCAATAGCTTAATGAAAATCTTAGCTATTAGTAAGCTCAACAAATTATCTTTGATTAGCTTTGAATAAAAAATTTGCTTACTTTAAAGAATCTTCAAGAAATGAGATTTATCGTGTTCATATTAAAAGTCACTTTAAAGTAATAAAAGATTTATTTATATAATATAGATTTATTATAACAAATGAATAAAGATCCAAATCATTTATATATTGAAATTCAACAGCGATTAAAAAGAAAAGAGTATAATAATTATAATAATCAAGATTGTGCACTGAGAAATTTTCATATTTAAATTGTATTACAATTGCAGATCATGGGACATATTTGGTGATCATTATGGAATATCCTTTGACTACCTCCTCTTCACGTTTTTGGTGGAACAAGAGATTGCGTTTTACCATTTTCAGCTATTGAAATTGCAAGGTCCCAATGAGTAAAATGAATGTCCAGGGCATTTTATAGTAGGTTACCTTTTTATCGTGATAATTTTTGAACATGTCTTAAAGCTTCACGTTCAAACATTCTTTCTCTGTGATACCATCAGAACCAGCCTCTAAAAAAAAGTGTAATCATCTTAGTAACGCGCAAAGAAAAGAAATTTGCGAGTATTCTCAGAAAAATCCTTCTGCTAAACATCATGAAATTACTGAAGAATTTCTAACTGTTATCTGGCGTTAACACTTAATCACTCAACAATTACAAAAACCCTGGCCAAATAAAACCAATACTTACATCTTGAAGTCACTGTCTTCACAGAAAAAACCTATCATCACCGCTCTCCAAAATACCTGCTAGTTAAAGCAATAATGAACTTGTGGGTTGACCAGATAAATGCTAATGCAGAACTGGTTTTAACAAACGTATTACTCAAGAAAAAAGCACATACTTTCGTGGAAGGACTTGGAATCGATAAAGAAGCTCAAAAGTTTAGTAATGGTTGGCTCAAAAAATTTAAGAAACGCAATAACATACGAAAAATTATGCTTCATGGAGAAGCAAATAGCGCATCGCTTGCATTATTGCCTGAAGCACGCATAATACTTCAAGCTATAATTTCAGGTTATGATCTTGATAATGTATATAATGTGGATGAAACAGGTCTTTTTTCGCACAATTTCAACACAAACATTGGGAAAGAAGAAAAAAGCAGGAACTAAAATGGTAAGAATATTTTATTACACTAGAACTTTTTTAAGATTTTAATCTAATACTATTTTAGGACAAATCTCGATTAACTGTACTACTTGACACTAATACAACGGGAAGACACAAACTTCATTCTCTGATTATCAGCACTTCTAAGAAATCCTGATGCTTTGCCAATATTAATATCAATCACTTACCTGTTATATACAAAAACAACAGCAAGGCATGAATGCGAAGTGATATTGTTGTATAATGACCTTTCGTCATAATATTTTATTATTAAATTATAAATATTTCATATATTATTGGATAAAGATCATATCATGTGAAGCGAGCGAACAAGCGAGCGAACAAGCGAACAAGCGAACGAATGAATAACTAAGCGAACGAGCGAACGAATATTGAACCAATAGAATTTAAGTGATATAGCATACATGAATTTGTATAGCCTAGAAATTATATCTTGGATTTGTATAAAAGCAATATGTATCATAGTTGTTAGAATTAGATATGAACAAGT